ATTATGGTACTGTCCCCCACTCATGGCAATTCTCCAATCCCAGCCTTTGCACTTTCACTTACACTGTGTTTCCAGGCTGCTGACTTATTTGAAGATAGATACCTCCCCTCCTGGCTGGAGGAGTAAGCAACCTGGCATTACCCTTTTTTCACTTTCCTGTTTGAGTGCCAACTAATTATTCCCTGTATTTATGGTTACCATCCCACGCCTCACTGTTGAATGTTTCTGAAAGCTTTCTGTAGCAGAGACCTGAGCTAGAAAAATCAAGAAAGGACCTTAGGTCATTATCATCATTCTCACCTACTGAAAACTCACTGCCATGCCAGATATTTGTTGGATAATATTTTATTTAACCACCCTACCAACCCTCAATCTGTGTTATTATAGTTATAGTTGGTGTGTGTGTGTCAGGCTCTGAGTATTAAGGTTCTCAAAGGCATACAGATATCTGCTTTGAATAGAGGATCATTTCCAGTTAGCCATACACTGCCTGCCTTAAGGTCTGAGGTAGCTCCATCTGGAATCTGTTGTGGGCAGCTAATATGCTGGGCTATCTATCATTTCCTCTCTGCAGCCACTTGGGTTCTCTGGACTGGGATGTTTTAGAGGAGACTTGGCTTCAGGATGGCCATCTGGCATCAGTTCACAAAGCTTTTGTGAAGTCACATGTGGTCTCCGGGTTGCCAGGAAAAAGGATGCCTTGATGAGCCAAAATGCAAATTCCATAGGAGAGGAAAAGTGAAAGTGAGCTTGTTCACACTGTGCAGGGCTCCAAGGAAATGACACAGTGTGGGAGACACAGTGTCCTGCCTCTAGGCTCCATCATATTACAGGGACAATATTTTGCATTTGTTCAAAAACTTGCCTTCCAACAATTTGTTTCTTAGGTCATTAAGAGAAACAGAGGTGACCCAAATTAAAGTTGCATGTGGCCCTTTGAGGAGCTGTTATTCTGGGGAGCCTGAGTTTCCTCACCAACCCCCAGAGTTTCTCTTGTGTTAGAGGCCAGACACTCAACACATAGCCTACACTAAGCTAGGAGCAGAGGATATGAGGCCCTTCACCCATCTGTTCCCATCGGAAAAGTTCTCTGGGGTTTTCACTAAGTATTTCTAAAAAGCGCTTTAGCTGTTTGATGATTCCTGTTCTATTTACTTACTCGTAGTTTTTGAGACAGGGTTTCATGTAACTCTAGCTGGCTTCAACTCATATGCCAAAGGCTGGCTGGTCCTCCTGCCTTTGCTCCCCCAGAACTGGGATTCACAGACATGAACACCACAGCTGGCTTAACTCCCTCTCCTTCCAATCTTCTCCTTCTCTTTGCTCATTTTGCTTTCTCCAAGACATTTGTCCCACTGACCCTGCCCAAGCCCAAGGATTCTTACCAGATGGGCCTCAACTGTCTAAGAGAGGTCAGTTTCCTCTAGCCAAGATATTACCTGCTTTGAATGCTTTTTAATCAATAACTTTCTTCTCCAAGTTGCATTTACAACCAAATACTGAGCCCAAAGAGATCTAGTGATCGTTGGCATTTAGATCAGAACAATTAAAGGCATTGTTTATAAGCAATGTAGTCTTGGCATTTACTAAGGGGCATTTTTGAGATGAAATTTTTCAAAGATGATTTGAAAGTCTTTTTCAATGATGATCAAAAGCTCAGCTTGACCCAAAGTTTTGACTGTCTTGGAAAACTATATGCACATCTAATGTTTGAAATGCTTTCCTTTCAAACAAAAAAATCACTATACTATGTATAAATACATTTGGAAATCTGAAGTATAGTTTATGACTATTTATTTTCACAAAGTCTAGCAGCTTCTGAATGAACTTGCCTCATCAAAAGCAAGCCATGCTAAGGTAAGAAGCCCTGCTAGACTTAAGAGATATTGACTGTTTATACTCAGATTAAAGGAAGGAGACAGTAGCTATTTCTCTCAGAAGGGACTTAATTGACTCAAACAGTTCAAAAGAGAAAGACATAGAGTGTTGTCTTGGAGCTGTCTTGATGACTTCTTTATTCTGAAAGGGGACCATTACAGCTATCAGGACACACACACTCACACACACACACACACACACACACACACACACACACACACACACGTGATCTAGCATGCACACTCACCTGTGTTCAATCTACTTAGAATTCTTAACTTTCCTTTTGAGTTGCTTACAGAATATAGTAGAGCTCATTAACTCTCATGTCCTTGGTAAAACTGGTAGGAACTGTAGGCACTGATCACTGGGCCTCACTCAGAACTAAGACCAGGGTGGGATCTAAAAATGTGTGCACACAAATCCCAAAGTATTGCTGATGCTCTGGATCTGGGAGCTACACTTTTAGAACCACTTGAATGGTTACTGGGTAGGTTCTAGAGTTAGACTCTTGGGTCCCAAGGTCGGCATTACCTTTCTTCAACAGTAGGACTCCTGAGCTGGTTAACCTCTCCATTACCTCCATGTTCCTTTATCTAGTTCAAAAGGAATTGCAACTGCTGTGTGGTCCCATGTGGGTGAGATAATGCCCCAAAGCACAACTATTTCTCCCAGCATGCCAATACATCAAGCTGCTGCAGGGTCCAAAGGCCCTGCACCTTGACCACAAAGAGACACTAGGATACCTCTGGATGGCAGCAATTGATGAGGCTTGGGGACTGTGGCTTACTCAGAACTAACTTATAAACCCTGCAGGCTCTGGCACACAGAACCCTAACTTTCACTTTAAGTCCACTTCAGCTACTTCTGAATCCACAGTGACAGGAGCTAATATTCCTACTGAGCTAATATTCCTATTGAGAAGCCAATCCATACAGAGCAGATGCACCCCTGTCCCCCAAGCACTAAAATTCAGGTTTGGCTCAGTTTGAATGCTGGCATCCACAAGCCAAGTGCCTGTATTAAAAATCCAGCCCTCTTAATGCTTAGTACCAATTCTTCTGCCCTTAACACTTTCAGATTAGATTGATTTAAATAAGAAGACTCGAGAGAAAATCTGGAGCGTTCAATTGCTTATACTTGCTTTTTGTTTTTATTATCAACAATCAAGTTAATGGTACACTCTTGGAAAACTATATGCACATGTAGAAATATTTCCCCTTTAAATAGAAGCATTCATTATAACACGTATAAATAAATTTGAAAATCTGAAACATAACTTATGACGCTTATGTTCACAAACATAGTCCAACGAGAAGAAAATGAAATCAGACAGACATGCACCTGATAACAAAAATATATACCATTGTCTGAACCTGGTCTCTCTAAACACAAAGGAATTGAACCCGTGAGAACCTTATTACGCCATAAAGACACACCATAGAGACTACAAGAAGAGAAAGACATTATACGGGTCACGCAGAGGAGACGGTCTGTACTGAGAGTAACACGATACAATTGAGTCACAGAACACAGCTGTAGAAAGACACCGAAAAAGTTAAAGCCTTAACATTCAACTAATATCTATAGTTTGTGCCTTTTAAAACAAATTGAAACAAAAATCCCAACAGAGATGTCTAAACTGCGCATAGAAGGATTCATCAATATACAGTCCGTCCACCCTACAGGATGAGTCCAGCTCGGATCACTCAATCAGAAACGCAAGCCGAGACACTTTCTGCAAACGTTGTGTGTGCCTTTCCCTTGCTGGGTAGATTTCTCTGCAGCCAGCTACGTGGGACTGCAACTGACTCCAATGCAAAGCAGTGCCAAAAAGTTCCGTAAAAGCTGGTGGAAGAAGAAAATGCCGGTGGGGGTGGCAGGAGAGAAAAAAGGAGCGCTGTGAATATGAGACACGGGTTGCAGAGTTTGAGGATGAAAAGGCATCTCATGTACAGGGCATCTTTCAGGGCCAAGCGGCTGCGAAGATTTGGGGATAGCAACGGTGTGGCCATCAGTTGCGCTAACAGCAAGATGGTTTCAGGCGAGGTGGGGACAGGCAAGCGGGCTCCAGAAAGTCACTTTGGCTGCCCGGACAGTCTGAGTGAGCCATCATTGCGGTGTTCGGAACCCAAGGACCTGAGGGGAACCAGGGCTGGAAGGCGTCAATATTCCTTCCTAAAGAGGAGCCGCGAGAGTCTGTACAGTTGTGAGCATGAGAATTTAGGGGTTCACAAGACCAAATCCTCAGTGCCAGCCACAGTCCTCTCTTGCTCCCTTTGTATTTTTAACTTGTCCCCTCCATTTGGATCGTTTAACTTTTGTGATTTATTTTATTTTACTTTTTTATCGTTGCTGCCTTCCGAATTTTTAATTTATTTCTAAGAAGTCACTGAGTTGGTTGTGGCCCCCCATCTCTCCCTACCACCTACATGGGGCCACAGACACACATTCTCCGAGACAAACATACACCCGACACTCAGACACAGCCCCCTGAGAGTGCCCTGAAGTCTAGGCCACGCTGCTCACATCCCCTGGGCAGCAGGCAGAGCCCTGTCCTGTGCAGCCTGAGGCAGGCGCGAAGCCGGGGAAGTTTTTTGTTTGTTTGTTTGTTTTGTTGGGGGAGGGGTTGAGGAAAGGGGTAGGAGTGGGGTTGAAATGGGAGCGACGTCATTATTCGAATCGCCATCAGTTTAGGCCTTCGATGAAAAAGCCACTGGCAGCAGCGACACTAGCC